ATGATTAGATTAGAAAGTTCCATGATTGTTCCATGATTAGAGTATGGATAGATAGCTAAGGTTAGCTGTGATGTTCTAGCTCAGAGAGAAGAGTGAGGGTCTGTGTACAGCCTGGACTCGTATGCAGGGCCCCAGGGGGAACTGGCAAGGCCCACAAGGTTGAACATTCCTTTGGCCCCGCAGGCCACCAAGATGGCCCTGTGTACAGATGAAGGGGCTTAAAGAGCACCCCAGGACCAGGACTCCCTTTCCAAAAGTGGTGGAGAATCCTGGTCTGGCCTAAGAAGATCAGGAGTTGGGACACTTTGCTGGAGAGGCCAAGTTCATAGGTCTTGTCCCCTGTGGGCCAGGTGTGGCCTTAAAATGGGTGCCCAGCAAAGCAAGGGGGGCTTGGGGAGCACAGCTCTGCCCCTGCCCGCTCCACACCTGCTCCCCTGGCCACCCGCTCACTGGGCATCCTGTCGCTGTGCTGAACCGGCCCCGCCTCCTTCCTGGGCCCCAGAAATAGTTCTTTTTGCTTCCTTCCACTTTCTATTTCCCACTTGCCCTCTCCCTCTTCCCCTGCCTGCTCCCCACCCCCAACTCCTCATTGGCCCTAAACAGCAGATTTCTCTTCTGGCCGGGAAGCTTTGCTGGAATCTGGGAGGCCTGGTTTGGCGAAGGGAGAAGAGGCAGCAACTGCAGATCCAAGAACAGGCCTGAAGGAATGAAGGAGGCAGAAGGAGGGGTCAGCGACAGGGAAAGATGAGTTCCTGGCAGGGGAGGGGGAGGGCTGGTGAGATGACTGGCCCCAGAACCCACGAGGCTTCTGGAGAGATGTGGGGTGCAGGAACAGAAGAGGCAGGTCAGGATAGGGGGTACTCAGGTCCCTGCCCTGCCCCACGAGGGGGCGCATGGTCGGGGGGCGGTTGGGGAGGCACCTCTACCTCCACCAGCCCACAGTCTCAGCTCAGCCCACCTGGGCGTCGGGTTTAAGCCTCAATGGGAAGCAAAAGCAGAGAAGAGGGGAGGAGCCAGGGGGAGACTGAAAAGTCAGCAGCAGACAGGCAGACTGGGCCTCCCCAGGCGCGGCAGCCCCTCTAACTCAGGGTGCTCACTCAGGGCCCGCGCCCTCTCCAGGCCTGTGTCCGAGAACAAGCTGAAGCCCAGCAGCAGGGCTGCCTGGCCACCTTCCACCGCCAGCCCAGCTTAACCCTCGCACCGCTGGGCAGTTCCTCCTGTTTCAACCCCCCTCTTGCACATCCAGCTGCAGTTCCTAGTATCCCAGCACGTAGTGGCCTTCCTCTGCCTGCCCAGCCAGCTCCTGGAGCACTGACCCCTCTCCTGTCCCCAGTTTCCCCACACAGCAGGCCCTGCCTCCAGTACTCCCAGAGAGCCTGGCAGTCCTACCTCTCCAGATGGCCTGAGCACTAGTCAGCCCTAGAGAAACAGACATAGAATGTCCAGAGTGTTAGGACAGACAGGCCTTAGCCATCCTCCACTTCACCTCCTCCTCTACAAGGAGCCAACGGAGGCCCAGGGCCCCACAAGTGCTCAGGGCAGCTCCGGATCACCTGATGAGGAGGAGATCCAGGGTGCTCAGGGCCGCAGAGGAGGTGAGGGGCAGCCTGTGTCAGGGAAGGGGCAAAAGATGGGGAAGGACAGGGCCATTCCCAGGCTCGGGAGTACCCAGCTCTCCCAGGGGAGGGCAGGCCAGTCCTATTACCTGAAAGGGTAGGTGTTGCTTGGGGTTAGGTGTGGAGCCCCAACTGGTCCAGGGTGGGTTTCTGTAGGTGGCTGGAAGTGAGTCACATCTTTTGTGTGTGTTGCATGTCCATGTGTGGGTGTGCTGAGTCAGCCTGTGTTGTCCTGCATGTCTGGGGAGGTAGGCATTACACGTGTGTGACAGGCCCAGGGTGCTGGCCCTGTGTGTGTAAGTGGGCCTCTATATCTTGAGGAACCATGCTTAAGATTTTTCTCAGAATGTGCTCGTGTGTCTTTGTCCTGGCTCTATATGTCTTACTGAAATCGAGTGTGTGCAAGAGTGTACCTGCATATGTGGGTGTGTGCAGACAGGGACCAGTGACGGGCTATCTACAGGAACATGAACTCACTCTGGTGTGACAGTTGTGCAGAGATGGAGAAGCACTGACGTGCTCCGAATTCCAGCAAACTCCAGCTCCTGAGTTTCCAGCTGTCCCAGCTAAACTGTGCACAGATGTGTGCTGCTCTGCTGCAGCCATAAACAGACCTCCCAGGATTTTTCCAGAGGAAACGCAGAAATATTTTGGTGTCTGCTCTGGGCAGCAGGATAGAGTGGGGATGGGGCTTGAGGATAGGGCTTCAAAACGGAGGGACCGCAAGTCAAAGGGAAGCTGAAGAGGCAAGAGCACCCCCCAAAAGCCTGGGGGGGGTTCTGATGGCTTCCAGCTGTGGGGTCCTCAACAGGCCCCAGCTACCACCTGGGAGAGTGAAGTCCCAGTTGCCAGGGATGCAACTGGCCCCCAGAGCCCACGCCACTGCTGTTCCGCCTCTCCCCAGCCCCCTCTCCTGAGGGTACAGGGTCTCTCAGAAGGACAGGTGCCCCACGGCCTTCTGGGAGAACACATCAGCACACCTCCACACCCTCACCCCATGGCAGCACTCCAGGGGACCCACCACACATACACATGCACTCTGGCCACCACAGGACGGTCACCCACACACTCGACCACACGTACGTCGTCACCACTGCATTCCCACACACACACACACACACACGCACACACACACGCTCTCTCACACTTCCTATGCTAGCATTTCAGAACCGCAATCACAGATACCACACACATACCCCCACCGCACACAGACTGTAAACCACACGCCCACCACCACCAACACAGCGATCCCGCACACCCACCCCCACTCTTCATGAAAGTACATATACCAGGAAAAATTTCCCCCACCCCCATACACAGTTCCAGACCTTTCCAAGCCAAGGAACAAGCCTGATACTGTTCTTAGGCTCCTCATCAAAGCAAACTAAAGGTTTAAAAGAATTTGACTTGTTCCTGTCCCATGATTACCTGGGTTGGTTTAAAGGCCCCCTGCCCCGGGGAGAAATCTCCCCCTCAGCTACACCCCTCCCGGTCCCTCTCTAGGGCATAGAAGTGGCTCTCTTCTTGGCCAGTGACCCTGGGGCTGGGCCCATGTGCTCTCTGCCCTCAGAGGGAGGAGAGATCCTTGCACGTCTACCCAGCAAACTCTTATGGAGCAGTTGCTCTGTGCCTGGCATGTGCCAGGCAGGTGGGGGGCATGGGGCTGAGAGATGCTTTTTCTACCCCGAGGGAGCTTACAGCTCAGCATCAGCACGCGATGTGGGCTGTACCAGAGCCACTCTATGTCCTGCCAGGAAGGGGGATAAAGTCCAGAGGTGGGGGAGAACACTGCCAGCCCCAAATGGCTTCCTGGAGGAGTGGCACATGGACTGGCCATGACTCACGGCAGCATTTACCTGTGTATGTTGTAGGGGTGAAGAAAAGAATTCAGTCTCGCTCTCACCCCACAGAACTCTCTAGCACATCATCCTGTTTTACTGTATTTATAACTCTTACCTGAATTCACCTTGCTTATTTGAATATCTGTTTTTATTTGTCTCTACTCCTGTAATGTAAGCTAAGTGAAAACAAGTCCACTGCACTCAGAACAGGGTCTGGTGCTCTTAAATTGTGGAAGGAAGGAAGGAAGGGAGAAAGAGAGGGAGACAGCTTCATGTGCCAGGGCTTGGGGACTTGGAGGTCAGTCTGGCAGGAGGAAGATAGCGGTGGGCCTTGAAGGCCAGGCTGAGGAAGACTGGAACCTAAACATTCCCCCAGTGGGGAACCATTAGGTTTGCAAGAGGGCACTGCTGTGTACAGACCAAAGGGCCCCTGGGCCAGCCACTGAGAGTACGAAATACTTTTGACTGTGGGGCGTCTGCATCTCAGAGGTAGCCAATTGATAGGTAAACTCTATGTAGTAACAGGATTCAAGTGCATGACCTTTAGCATTATAGGTTTGTATATGAACCTATTACAGCATGATAGCTTACATTATAGGGGCAGGACAGACAAAAACAGTCAAATAAACAAGATAAACTCAGGTAAGTCTTCTCTCCCCAGCTTCACCCTCAGATCAGCCAACAGGTGGAGACAGGTGAGGATGCAAAAGTCTCGTCCTTGAGAAAACACATTTATATGGAGCAGCCATGTCCTGGCCTTTATCTAGAGCACACTGGAGGAGTGTGGGCACAATAGGCCTGAGAGGAAAGTGCCTTAATCACTCATCCTTTCCTGGGATCCCCCTTCTACCCTTCGGAGGGTGACCAAGACAGCGCTCAGTGTCACACTCTTCCTAGAGAACTGCTCACTCGATTTTAGGGCCAAAGAGGTAGGTAGGGGCTGAGAGAAAACCCTTTTGAGGGCTACCTGCCCTTTTCCCGAGCTGGGCAGGACGAATGCCACTGGGAGGTTTCACTTTAAACTTTCTCCTGTTGGAGGGAGGTTTTGTCTCAGCAAACACCACCCAGGAAGGCCTGGAGGTGCAGGGAGGGGCTCCACGGCATCTTTAGCAGGTTAGCCTGCTGTACTGTGTGTGCTGAGCTCCGGATAAGGCCCTGCCTTCCCAGCTGGAGACATCTGAAGACTCACAGCCCTCCAGCTCCCAGCCCCAGGGTTGAAAGCTCCAGGACTGCACCGAGAGGCTGCACTGTCTGCAGAGCCTGGGCCCTAGGCCGGGAGGAGGGATCTTGGCTTCTGGTCTTGACTCCCAGGGACCCCTGTGGAGCAGGGGATCTCACATTTCTGTTGGAGCCAGATCTAGTCAGATGCCTCAGGCTCCTGGGGGAAGGGGCAGAGCAGCAGAAGGGACCCTACCCAGAGAGACGGTGTCGGGGGGATGAGTTGCGGTACAAGCTCTGGACTCAGAGAAATGGACTTTCAGCCCTGACTCTGACACTGACCAGTTCCGCTGCCTTGGGCAGGTCAGTTCTGCTCTCTGCACCGCAATTTCCTCATCTGTAAAATGGAGACAATCACCACCACTCTGCCTGCTTCAGAGCGGTGCCACGGGCATCAGTGAGAGGGGAGAAGCCAGGAGTTTGTGCTGCACACATAAGGAAGACGAGGCCACTCCCTCTTCCCTGCGGCCCAGGATGTGGTAGCAGGAGGGACTAGAAAGGCTTTGCAGTTGGAATTAATTAGGAGGCTCTTGTTTCTCGACAAGTACCCGGGGTCTGAGTCCCAGCTCCCCCACTCACCAGCTAGGTATCCTTTAACCAGAAGTCTCAGCTCTGTGGGTCTCCGTTGCCTAATCTTTAAACTGGGAGAGGAGGAGCTGGTACTAAATGATTGCCAAGCTCTGCATTTGTTCCCTGGTCCCTCCATTTCTGGATTCCAGAGTCTGAATACTCCGTTCTATCCATCTTACTCTTAGCCAAAGGGAGACTGGGGAAGAGGAGACTGGGCTCCCAGTGAAAGCACCAGCTGGCAGGCAGCTGAGAATGGCTGCAGATGGGGACAGAGGATGGGACTCACCAAGCACTGGGGACAGCAAAGGACCCACATTGAGCCTACAACCGCTTCTTATACAGATGGGCAAGAGATGGGGGCTTGCAGGTGGCAAAGGGGAGGCCCATTTGTTCTGTCCATGTGCTGTCCGTCCTTCCTTGTGCAGTCCGTCCTTTCTTTTATTCCATCTTCCATTTTCGTTCATTCACCTGTGCCTGCAGTAAGCACTGATAGAGCCACTACAGCAGGTCAGGCACCGTCCTGGTTGTCGGGAATACAGAAGTAAGTTCACAGCCTCGTGGGGGACAACAAGAGATGTAAACAGATGGTTCCCACCCAGCATGAGAGGTGCTGGGAGAACAGCTGGCGCTGGGTGCCGCGGGGCAGGAGGAGGGCCTGCCCTCAGCCACGTGGGACAGCTCCTTCCTCAGACATTGCCATCAGCTCGCTGAGACGGTGGGAAAATACAGAAATTGCTTGGTGCCCAACAGCTTAGAGGGTGGTAAAGAAAAAAAATGCCCGAGAGAGAGGTTACGGGGTGGGATAATTAATGTTTTGCTAAGGAGGAAAATATTAGTGTGTGTTGCTCAGCATGCAAACACCTCAGCTAACAAAACGGCTCGGAGAAAACAAATGGAACTGCGGGATTTTTCTCACAAAGATTAAAAGAAAAGAAAGAGGCAGCAGTCACAGGCATACCTCCTCCAGTGGCTGAAAGAATGTTCCCTGCCAGGTGAGGAAACCAAGGCCCAGCCCTGGGAAGGGCCCAGCTGCCACTCCTTCTCGGACAAAGGCCGACCCTGCACACAAACCCCGCACCCCAGTCCTTGACCCGCCGCCACTTCATGTCAAGGCACTCAGCCCAGTTACTGAGGCCGGGGACTTTCTGCACACACCGCCTGAGCATTTTAACAACAAGAGATTTCTAATTCCTTAGGGTGCATTCAGCAGGTATTACTTCCAGACCTCTGCCTCCTAACCCAGAGAGTCCCATCTTTGAGGGGAGATTGCATCAGCTCTTGTTCACAGGGGAAGGATCTGGTTAATGGGAGGAGATAAAAGAGTTACTTTTGTTTCTACTTACGTGAACTGTAAATATGTACTCAGAATCGCCAGGCGACAGGATGGGCCCAGGTGAGCCACTTTCCCAAGTGATGCCAAAGTTTGACAGGAACTGCCAATTAGTGCTAAGAAAATCCACCTGAACAAAGGTGGTGCTTCTCTCCCACAGGTGTGATTCCGGGGGCATTGCCCCTCTGGGGGACGGCTTTAGCATCAGGCTCCCCTCTAGAATGGGGTCCGGGCCTCAAGACACAGAAGTTCAGGAAGGGTCTTCTTCCCATTGTCGTCTCCAGAATGCTCGGGGGCTGGGCCCTGAGGGAAAATCTATAAGACAGGCCTGTTGCTGCAGCACCAACCTGCTGACGTTGAACTCCTCCTTTTTAACCCGACAACCAGATTGGCCCCAGAGTCCAGGCAGGGGAGAGTCCTCAGTTGTGTGGGGAGCATCACATAGCCAAAGGAGTCCAGGCTCCCTCACCCTTCACTAGGACAGGATTGGGCCTGGGTCTTGCCAAGCATCTTGGGCATGGCAGATCCCTCTTTGTGTGCCCCCGGGGAGATGCAGAGCCAGCAGTCCCTCCCCCCCCCATGCAGGTCCTGTAGGGAGAGAGTTTGGGGTTTGCAATGTGGCTGCCACTGGCAGGGCTGGCAGTGTTTGTGGCTCTGGCTCTGGGACCTGTGGTCAGCCTGAGGTCCTCCTCCACCAGAGCTGCCTGCTGCGCCCTTGGCCATCAAATACTGCCACGTGCAGCCATTCTTCTCTCCTTGCTTCCCCCTCCATTTGCATCCGAGGTGTGAAGGCCCCTCTCATGGGTGTTTACATCCCTACTTGAACACGATAGGCAGGTCTCTGGCCAGCCAGATCTTTCCCACTGTAGATCCCACAGGTCAGGGTCTGGGACGCTTCCAAATTTCATACAGTGCACAGAGCCTGCTCTCAAAGTCAATGTGGATCTGGATTAGTCCCAGCTTTCCCAGATACTATTTGGTCTTGATAAATTCTTTAACTCTTCCTCAACAATAAAATAGCAAAAATATTTCACAGATTTGTTGAATTAATGAGACAGCATCCTGTTGATGTGAGCTCCCTTCTCCTTCTGTCTTAAGTTCCTAGGAAACAGACTCTAAGAGATTTGTATGCCCTTATTGGGGCACTCCCGGGATGAACCCCTGTGAGGGAAGTGAAGGAAGCAGGATTGGGTAGAGGGAGAAGTTGAACTTTAATGCAGTTACAACCAAGGCCTCGGCCAACCCCATGGGGAGCTCTGGAGCTGGGGTGGCCCTGCAGAGATGTCCCACACTGAGGCAAGTGGGCTGGGCCTTGTACCCCACATTAACCTGTCATTGGATGCAAGCCATCCCACCCACCCCCACCTCAGGAGGGGGCATAACCTTGGGCAATGCATCTCCCTCCAGCTGAGGGCAGTTCTGCAGGGACAGAGCTGTGAGCGTTCCCAGCCAGCACTCAGGCAGCTGGGGCGATGAGTGCCTCCATCCTGAAGGGGCCCTGGTCGTGCACCCCAGAACCCACTACTGAAACCTCTCTCTCTTCTCCTACCCCAAACCTATGTCAACTTAAAAGAGAAATTCACCATTTTTTTACCCTCAAAACTAGTTTATTTGGGAATAGCCCAAAGAATTGCATTTTGGAATATGCATGCCGTGGCAAATCATAGGCAAATCCAAAAAACAAAGGAGGGGGGCTGCTTTTATAGAGGAAAAGGGGGAGTAGGGAGGGGCTATTTTAAATGAAAGTCCATTGGAGGAGAGCAACAGTTCAGGATGACAATGGCTTCTCATTGGCTGAGCTGCAGCATTTCTCATTGGCTGGGCTCTTGCCGGTGGCAAGAGAAATCTTCCTTCAGTAGTAAAGTAGTTTTCCTTCCGGTTGGAGATGCAAGCGTCCTTCGCTACCTAGTTGGAGTAATTGACAATGTCAATTACTGTGATAGGGCGTGAGAGCTCCCACTACAGTCTGTCCTGACATCAATTTACTTGAGGTTTCTTTTATTAATTTCCACACCTAATACCAGTTTCCGAGAAGTGAGTTAAATTTACCCTAGTAGAGAGTCCGACTGGGAATGAGAAACCTGTCATTCCAGTTTGGGCCCAAAATCTTACTTAGATGTGTGGCTTTGGACAAGTTCTTTCATTTCTTCTACCTTCAGTTTTCTCATTTTTAAGTAGGATGTAATAACTTCTCTGCCTTCCTTATGGGTTTGTGGAGAGGATAAAATGCCATAATGCAAACTGTGAAGTGCTCTGAAACCTGTGGCATTATTGTAACATGGTAACCATACATCATAAATTCAAATTCAATCCTAACACCAGTTATTCTTGCTTGTGCCCCCATAAGTTTACTCCTTCCTGTCAGGCTGTGTGTCCTTTTGTGAAGCGAGGAAAATGGATCACCACAGCCATGGCCCACCCAGGGGGCACTGGAATGCTCTGCTCCATGGCCTGGTGAGAGAGCTGCTGCGTACAGGATTGGAAGTGAGTTGCGTGTGCAGGAAGCAGGGGCCTGAGCCCCTGGACACTGCCCTTTGAGGGGGGTTTGAACCCAGGCCTGGTTTTCCCAGAGGTTGGAGAACAGTGCTGTGGTGCCCAGACAGGAGACAGCAGATGCAGTGCACTGGGTGCAGTGCTTCCTTTGAGTGACCCATTTGTTGGTTAACCATTGATGAATAAATGGCAAGTGATAGGATATATTGGAGCATATGAAGAAGCCATTTGCTGTAAAACTAATTCAGCCTGAGCTTCTTTTTCCGAAGGGCCTGTGGCCTTTGAACATGCATTGTATATCTGCTTTAAGCAATTAACATGTCCCAAAGACAAGAACAAATGCCCTTAAGATAAGGGTGCAACTTCCCCCACATTGGTATTTCCTTAAGGATAAACATTTCTCCCTAGGCTAGGATTTGATTGCTGTGCTCATCCTGTGACCACCCAACTCCAGACAGCAGACCTGCTACCTGCTATGTCCATCAATCGTTGTGCTGACAGGGCAATCTTACAGGGCAATTTCGTGACTATTGTAAAAGGGATGTTGCAATCATATGTGACACATGCTCTTTGATGGTATATAACCACTCTCTACACCCCACTTCTTTGGTGCCCTTCCTTCCTTGGGGAAGGAAGGCCCCAGGCTATATGGTCCTCAAATTTGGCTCATAATAAACTCACCCCAATTTTGATTTATAGATTCATTATGGATTATTTGCATCAACATTTCTTGGCATAGTCATGGCAGGATTTCAGAGAAACCCACCGGAGACCACCTGGAATCTACACTGAACTGGCATTCAGTACCAATAGGGGCCCATTGAGCCCCCCAAGATCACCGCATTCTTCAGGTGACCCCAGTGAGTTCTCCTGAAACTCACTGGACCTCCTTATTTTAAGTCGATGGTCCAGAGTTTGTATGAGCTGTTTCAAGGCTTAAGACTAGGTGTCTTAAGGGGGTACCGGTACCTTCCCTAGGTCAGAGGAACCTGGGGGAGGAATTTCTAGGAAAGAGAAACCTAGGGGGAGTTTCCTAGGCCAGGGGGAGACTAGGGGGAATTTTGGAGTGAATGGGGCAAGCTGACCTTTTTTAATTTGGCTTTAAATTGGGAAGAATTGTGTTTATAATGTCTGAACAAACTGCTTGACAGAGAAATGAGAGACTGAATTTGTTCAGCTCCTAAGAAAAGGGACATTGCTCCTCCCAGCCTTTCGGGCATTCTCAGGTGACTGAGAATCTCAGCGGGAGTGTCAGAGGCAATCCTCATGACATGCAGTTGTCCTATAGGGAACTCTGTTATCATTCACATTAATTAATTAATGGCTCTTCCGGGGAAGCACTGAGGCTGGTCACCCGTGCTCCAAGCCCCCACGGAGGTATTAGGCTGCTGGTGGGAAAAAACCCAGACACATAAGTGAGTGATTACGACCTTTCTTTAGGGAGTAACACTCACAAGCAGCACATTCTGACCCACTACACTGTCCTTAGGTGTTGTTCAGACTTTATAGAAAGAAAAAACTAAAAGAAAAGTGGGAAATCGAGCTTCTAAAAGCCCTACCAGTTCCCAAATGGCCAGCCTCCCTTCTGAACTCCAGAGACTTGCGCAAGTGCTTAAAACAACAGGGAGCCTAAGACTGAAAGAAAGAAAAAAAAATGGTAAAAGAAGCTTTTGCAGATGCAAGCTGCTAAAATTTTTTAAAACAGCGGCTATAAAATCTTTGTTGCATCTGTCTGTTGTTTATGTGTGTGTCTATAGGTATATGGGTGTGATATTTTACCTCCAGATGGTATGGCTAAACTTAAGAGCTCTGTTTAATTGGCTAAACTAAACGTTTACAAAAATGATTTCTAAATGCAACTAACCCAAATGCCTTTCAAGTTAATGTGATATGAAATAATCTCTGGCAAATAAAAGCGTATTTAAGCTTATTGGTTTTCAGCATTGGATGATGCAGACACACAGCCTTTATTCTACATTTATTGGTCAAACAAGCTGATGTTATTTCTATTACAAAACTGGTTAACAAAAATAATAACTTAAATGATGGCTAATTTTATCTAATGTCTCATGAAGTCTTGTAGGCAATCTAAATAATTATTGAGAACAAGTAACTAAATAGATGTGAAAAAAGATGAGTGTTGGGTGAACTTTTAACAATAATTATGTGTTATGCTGTATGTACTTAAAATAGCTTCCAAAATCTCTTTGGTAACATGAAACCTTGAAGTTTTGCTAGGTTAAATTAAGTGATAAAAATTCATTGAGTATCTATATCATTTCCAAATAAGACAAGATATTAGACATTGATTGCTAAACATAGGTTTATCTACTTTTGGCTTACTACTGAGAAGCTAAAAGGTGTTTTGGGTCTATTGGTAAACATGTCTTGTGTTTTATTAAAAGATTGTATTATGAAGTAACGTGTTTCCAGAAATTATGAAGAAGTTACTTATAAATTTTCCAAGCCACAGAATGCTAATGTAAAAGAAAATTTATAATTTCTTATTTAGTTTTTACTTAGAAATTAAGGTTTCTAAGTGTTAAAAATTCTAATATGTGATTAAAGCTACTAAAAATTAAGAAAAATATGTTTGTATTCAAGGAAAGTAAGATGGTATGAAGGTATAAGGTATGAAGGTATAAAGAAGGTATGAAGAATGGAAATATTTTTGTTGTTTGGTTAGGAAAGATAAATTTGTCCTAAAGTACTAAGAGGAAAAAAAGAAAGGTGTGGGACAAATTCTGAATGTAAAAAAAGTTATAGAAGGTTTGTTGAAGAGAAACCCTGAGGAAAGAGTTTTGTTTTAAAACGTTTTGATATTTTTGACAAGCTCCCCAAAATTCATATCTTAAATAAACTCTTTCTTTTGACTTTTTTCTTTGAGAATTTTCAAAGGGTCCTGGAACTTCTCAAAGAAATTTATTTTCTCTAAAGAGGGAGATACTACACTAATTAGGCTTGTTTGGCATGCTAAATTGCATAGGAAGCATTGTCAAGTAAATGACAAACCTTCTTAGGTTATACTGCATAGGTGAATATTATTCACTATTTTAACCCTGCTACCTTGCTTCCAACATCACAAGAGGAAAAGACCACGACTGCATTCTATTTAGTTTGGTTTACAGATGGGTCTTACTTAAATGATAAGCAAGACATTATCAAGGTGGATATCTTGTCCAGCCTCAAGAATGCCTGCTACTTCCTATTAACTCTGCTAACCCAGTAAAAGATTTCCTTCTACAGGCTCAAGAAATCACCAAGGAAGAAGAGAAACAGATGAGGCAGTCAAAAGGGAGAATTTTTGACACCCCCTCACAGACATGCTTTGGGTCCAATAAAAAACCCATAGTACCTATTGGAGCACAATTGCCACTGCTCCAGGATATACACCAATTAACCCATTGGGCACCTGAAAAGATAATTTTGTGGGGAAAGTAATACTTTTGAAAACTTTCTCCCACAGTGGCTCATAAAGCCTAATACTCTCGTTGTGTTATATGCCCAAAATATAATCTAGGGAAACTACTTCATGAATCACAAGGCCACTTTCTCTTTCCTAAGGGACCCTTTGAGGTATGGCAATTGGACATCATCCAAATGCCACCATCTCAAGGATATAAATATATCTTGTAATGATCTGTGTGTTCTCACATTGGATTGAGGCCTTTCCTTGCAGAAGAGCAACGGCCTTAACAATAGGTAAATTGCTATTAGAGAGAATAATTCCTGTTTGGGGAATTCCTACTGAGTTACATAGTGACTGGGGAACTCATTTCACCGACAAATAATTAAATCTAATTGTAATATTTGGCCAGTGATGCAGCATTTCCATTGCGCTTACCATCCTCAATCCTCAGGATTGGTGGAAAGAACTAATGGCACAAGCAAAACTCAATTTGCAAAGCTTTCAGAAGTGTTTAATCTCTCATGGCCAAAAGCTCTTCCGCTAGTGCTCCTCAATCTTAGATCTACATCCTTTGGTAAACATCAGCTGTCTCTTTTCGAGATAATAATTGGACAGCCTATGCAATTAGACAAAAAATGTATGAACCAACTTTGCTTAAAGAAAATATCTTAATTATTGTCAAAGTCTCATTGAGACACTTAAGGAAAAAAAAGAAGAAGAAGAAGTTGGTACCTGATTCTTTTCACAGAGAGCTCCCAGACTTTAAGGACTATAACCTGGAGAACTTATTTATCAAAAGAGGCATCAAATAAAAGACTCTTTGCAGCCCTATTGGAAAGGACCATACCAGGTACTTTTAACCAATTCATGCACTGCAGAATCAAAAGGCATAGACTCACGGATTCACATTTCTCGTTATAAAAAGAGGCTTCTCCACCTGAGTGGGTTTCACTTCCCATTTCTGATACCCGACTTCAACTGACCAATGCAAATATCTCCAAACCAGGATGAGAAGAAGATGACATCTGTTGTAGACAGCTGTCCCAAGACTCCGGACCAGGCCTGTATTCCCAACCTTAAATCTCCTCATTTAACCCATTGTTATGCTTAAACTGTATACCTATTTTATAATTGTTCCATTTAAGATTTTCAGAATACTATCATACTTAAGGAAAGTGATTAACTTGGACTGGTCTCAAAGGCCAGGCATTTATCGGGTGGCTCCTAATGGAACTTAATGGTTATGTGGAACAAATCTCTGGCCTTGGCTACTGGCCAGATGGCTAAACACTGCACCCTGAGTTTCCCTTGGATGCAGGGAAGGATTCACACTGAACTAACACCTGCTGCCAACCTTCCTCTCTTTAAGGCCAGGTGGGGTCATTCAATGTTCCACTGGTATGACCACAGAGCAGCTAGCTATATTTGTTCCTCTTTGGGGCTAAAGGATGTCATATCACATACAGAAGCCCTTAGTGACAGTCAAGCAGGAATAGCCTTATTAAATACTAAAATGTGTTTAATGAAAAAGACTGTCCTTCAAAATAGAATGTCCTTAGATATTTTAACTGCATCCCAAGGTAGTACATATATATATCATTCAAACTGAATGCTGTGTTTTTATACCTGAGGAGTCTTCCAATTTGCCATCTCTGCTGAAGCACGTGAAAAAGCAGGTAAATGCCTTAAGCGATCCTGCACCTGGTCTTGATTTGTTCGGTTGGCTCCCTCCTGGTATCAGTTCCCTTTTTCGATCCAGATTGCAATTCTATTTCTATTACTTCTTGGAATTCTTGTACTAGTCATAATATTCAAACTAATTGCTGTTTTCTTTACTCACTGTTGTAAGACTGGCATGTAAGCTTGAGTAATGAAACTTGAGATGGTCGATTGATCTTATAACCCTGGACAAATTTCATTTTCTGATAAGGACTATGCCTAAGAACTCATCTTAAACTAATCTTGTCAAAAATGTTGAGTTATTATCATCGTCACTGTACTTGTTCTATAATTGCGAACAAAGTAAACATAAGGAGTCATAGAAAAGCACATATACAATGTTTGTGCAACAACTTAAAATTAATCTAAAACCTATGAAATGCTTCCTCTGTTAATATATAAAAATATACCCCTATGCTTGTACACTATATCTGATTATTTCCCCACAACATGGACAACTGGGCAAATAAATGAGATGAAAGCCTGGCACCGAGGGACATGATGGGCCCGGGGCAGGCAGCAATCACCCTGGTGCCAAGGGACAATATTTTGATCATCAATGCTTTTTATCAAAAGATTATAGATCAAAAGGGGAAAATGATAAATAAATGGCAAGCAGTAGGATATATTGGAGCATATGAGGAAGCCATTTGGTGTAAAACTAATTCAGCCTGAGCATCTTTTTCCAAAAGGGCCTGTGGCCTTTGAACATGCATTGTATATCTGCTTTAAGCAATTAACATGTCCCAAAGACAAGAACAAATGCCCTTAAGATAGGGATGCAACTTCCCCCACATTGGCTTTTCATTAAGGATAAGCATTTCTCCCTAGGCTAGGATTTGATTGCTGTGCTAATCTTGTGACCACCCAACTCCAGACAGAAGATCTGCTACCTGCTATGTCCATCAATCGCTGTGCCAACAGGGAAATCTGACAGGGCAATCTCATGACTATTGTAAAAGGCACATTGCAATCATATGTGATACATGCTCTTTGACGGTATATAACCACTCTCTACACCCCACTTCTTTGGTGCCCTTCCTTCCTTGGGGAAGAAAGGTCCCGGGCTATATGGTCCTCAAATTTGGCTTATAATAAACTCACCACAATTTTGATTTATAGATTGATTATGGATTATTTGCATTTACCACCATGTCCTAGTGGTAAAGCAGGTGGCCCTCCTGGCCTGCTCCCCACCCCCATCCCTGCTCCTGACCCTTAGGAAGTCTCAGCTGCCACATTCATCCATCATCAGCCTCCCTCCCTGGGAGTGAGATGTGACCCAGAAGCATCCTTTAAATCAGCAGGGCTGCCTCTACCCCCACTGTCCGTCCGGCCCTCCACAGCAGTGGATCATATTTTCTCCCCTGAGCCCAGCTTCGGGCATCATTTCTGGGTGTTTCCAAAGCGTGGTCACATTGCTTTTCCTTTCAACTGGCTGTGCCGGACTCCTCCACCTAGACCATTTCACGCAATTTAATTCCTGCTCTTTTCTCTCCTCACCCCCTTTTTCTCTACATCTTTTTGGTGGGGAGGAGTCGGGGGGCCCTCAGAGGAGACTGAATCTCTAATACCAGTGCCCTTTATGGCTGAGGAGCTGGTTAAAGGGACAGAATCGGGGTTCCACGGAGGCTCCCATACCAACTCTTTGCGCAATGGTAAATGTTGGCCTCTGAGGGTCCCAGGTGACTTGGAAGTCAGCACACCAGCCTCTTGGAGTCTGCCTGAGCCACCCATTTGCTTCAGCTGCAGCGATAATAGAGGAAAGGAAGGCTGAGCCCTCGCAAGACCACTCTAGCCAGCAGCAGCAGCAGCACCTGAGAACTTGTTAGAAATACAAAGTCTCAAGCCCTGCCTCAGACCTGCTGAAACAGAACTCTGGTGGCGGGGACCCTGCAACCTGTAATTTAACAGGCCCTCCAGGTGATTCTGATGCATACCAACGAAGAGCATGCCAGCATTCTCCTTCATTCAACCTTTAGGAGAGCATGGTTGGCCTTGACCCTTCGCCAGAACAGGCCAGCTACTAGCACCACTGCCATCAGGTCTAAAGAGCAAAGGTGGGTGTGGCCTCCCAACAGAGGGGCCCAGGTTCCTGGTGTAGGTGGTGAGGAGGGAGTCCAGAAGGACCCCAGGGGAAGGTTCTGGAATGCAGCCCATCATTCATAGGGACCTAGAGACCTGGGCCGCTCCACAGACCCCAAGGCACACGGTTGGTGCTTCTAATGTATGCAGCACCATGCACCCCAAAGTCAGCCTCCTACAACTGCTTCCTTTTTCAGGGGAAAAACCCAAAGCCCTGGAAAATTAAGTCACTTGCCTAAGGTCCTTCAGAAAATTAGTGGCTGAACCCAGACTCAGGCAGAAGGGAATTGATCTGAAAGAAAGTCTCAGCTTCTGGGGTTACAGGGATTTGTTGATTCATTTAGTCATTCGGCAAACAGCACCTCTAGACTGCCAGGCACTCTCACCTGTTCGTATAACCAAGCCTGTGAGGTAGGGGCGATTGTTTGCATTTTTGTGATGGAGCGAAATTGAGGCTTCCAATGATAAAATCAAAATCACTCCCCCAAGGTCTGTAGCTTGGCAGCAAGTAGCAGAGGCAGGATTTGAATCTAGGCAGCCAGCTAGAATCCCAGAGTATGACCCACAGCCAATTTCTCCCATGAAAAAATCCTAATGGCCACTGCTCACAGCTCCTCTTGTCACCGGGAAAGCCCATGACCAGAGACAGGTCCCCAACAGTTCCCCCAGGGACACCAGCCAGCTCTGCTCCCAGCACCAGCTGAGAATGTGCAGAAAGGGCAGAGGAGAATCAGCTATCGGGAGGGGCCTTGGCTGTGGCCATACACTTCACTGGGCTGAGGGCCTGTCTCAGGACCCCCTCTCCCTCCTCGCCACCCCTAGTTCAGCTCGGCCCTTGGCAGGGCCCCACCATTAGTTCCAGACACCACGTCTCCTCTATTTATGGGTTTTTTTCTTTGCTTCTGCGGTTCTCTCTGGGTGAATGCCCCCTTTCCCAGGATTTACAGCATCCTCCTGCGGTGGGGTTGATGTCACTTTAATGAGAGTTACAGCTGCCTTCAACTGTGACTGCTGCATTCCAATTTACTGCCTGGCCTCCAGCAGTCCAGCAAGACTGCTCTCTGACAGGGAGGGGTGGCCGAGCTCCCTGCCTGGGGTTGGGGTGGAGGTGGGGAACTGCGGTCTCCTGCTCTTGCCTGCAGACAGCCGGCCCCAGCTCTGAACTAGGGTGCCAGGCTCCTTGGTGGATTCTGAGCAACAAGGAACAGGAGGAATGGGGACCACCAGGGAGGGGGCCTGGGCAGGTTATACTCCAACACTATAGGTTTGGGAAAAGACATTGCTCAGCTTTCCCGACCCCTTTTCCCCCATCCACCCCCGTGAGAACCAAAGCTCTGAACTGAAGGACCCAGGGCAGAGGAAGGTGGAGGCATTCACAGAAAGCCTGTTGTTCCCTAGTTGAATCCAGATGTGGACTGCGGGTGGGAGCGGGAGGGAGGGCTCTGGAGACGCCTGGAAGAGGAGAGGAGAGGAGGAGGGAAACTAGGAAAGCAGAACTCCCAGCAGGATGAATGCCAGAGATGCCCTGGGACCATTTCTGGATTTCAGTGCCCTCTGATTGGAGTCTAAAAGTGTCACCCCAAATTTGCCTCCATTGTCTCTAGTTAACAAATATGAGGCGATGTTGCCAATAGCTCAGGCACCTACGGAAAAACTGCCACCATTTGTAGAGCACTTACCAAGTACCTCTTACTCTGCAGCCAAGGCCACCAGCTATGTGGACTTTTCCCTCTGCCCAGCACCTCTGCTCCAGGCCCAACTGTGGAGGCGAATGCCTGGCCCTGACCAACAGACAGGAGTGTTGGGTTGGGCCCCAGGGCATTGAACACAGAACTTCATTTAATTATCACATCAACCCGACGAGATAGGAATTATTACATTCATTTTACCGACGAAGAACTGAGGCTCTAAGTCTTAGAGGTTTAGTCACTTGTCCAAGGCCACACAGGCTAGAAAGCAGCAGAGCCACAGTTCATTCTTGGGGCTTTCTGATTCCACTGCCCGTGCTATACTACCCATTTTGGAGCTACGACATTTGCCCCCATCTTTAAGCAAGCCAGAAATCTGGGGGAGGCTGACTGATACCGTCAAATATCCAGAGACCCACCAGTTTGTAGAAATCTGAGGTCGGCTCAAAGTTGCCCCCAAAGTCATGCTGGAGACAGATTCCTGGGGGAAAGACTTTGGCAGTGTGTCTGTAATGCCCTGGCCAGATTCTCCCTCCCCCATGCCCTCCTGGGAGGTGGGAGTCTCTTCAGTAGCTGTGGAGAGGGAGGCCAGCGCTGTCCAGGAGGGCACAGGATGTAGATTCCCCTAGAGGCTGTTGACCCTGGAGAGGTGAAGGGCCTGTCCTTGCCCTATCCCACCTCCCTGTTGCCTCATCCTCCCCAGGAACAGGAAGTCCACGATCAGGTTCAAAGGCACAGTGGGGAGAGGAAGGCAAGGGCTGCAGCAGTGTGGCCATCTCCTTCTGCCAGCCCCTCTGTGGGACCCAACGTAGAGTGACTACCTGGCCCTAGGCAAGAGGCCATGGCAGGGGTGGGGACCCAGGGCTGTGGATGCAGAAGGCCCTGGAGAGGGAGTAGGAGCTCAGACTTTGAAGTCAGGCGGCCTGGCTGTGGCCCTAGTTCTACTGCATTGGCTGTGACCTTGGACAGAACGCTGTGCCTTACTGTGGGCCTCTGTAAAGTGGGGGAAGCCATAGTTCCTACATCCTGGAGTGCAAGCGGGTGTTGAGGGGGGTGCCATATT